TATAGTTGGTACTTTGTAAGGATTATGATTAAATTTTTTTTAAGGGTAGAAATTTTTGCGAGATTGAACATCGGCTTTTTCTTTAAATAACAATAATAAACCCGAGCATTCCTGTGAGTAGAATAAAGAATCACAGTGGTGCGTACCGGGCTTAAACATTTATAATCATTTCATGTGATTTTTTTTTGGCAACGGATAAGTCGGGGGAGGTATCAACAAGCCAAACCTTACATAGCTTATATTTTTGGCTTCGTTACAATTAAACACACATTATTTATAATTACTTATAAACATATTAATTAGCGCAGTATTCAAAATAGTCATTATTACACAATTTCACGAGAATACAAAACGGCCTGTACAATCAACACTGATTTGTTTAGTATTCACAGCCCATTTGGAATTTCTCGAATAGTCTGACGGACTAGTAACCTTCACATAATTTTATTAATATTAATATGGTGCGTCACTCAATTAATTTAATTTAATAACGCTTTTACCTGTGAATTAAAGCAGAAGTAAAGTAATTTGATCTACTGCAAAATGTGATAAAAGATTTACCTTTATAAACCATCACAAATCTATTTCTTTGATAGAAAAAGTTTTGTATTACCTTTAGATTATATTACCTAACAAAAAAGCAAATTTGGGCATAAAGTCAAGGATCAATTATTGATTGAAACGATTCAAAATCGAAAAATTTCTTGTCAGTGTTTGTTCAATCGAAATTCCAAACCAATGCTAATAGCCGACCAGGCAGTGTAGTGGCTAGTGATCTGCTTCGCATATCGATGGTCTCGGGTTGGAGGCCCGGCAAGGTGCATGGTTGTATTTGTGAATGTTTCCTCCTCTACATGTAATTACCTACATGGTGTTTGTAGAGTGTACCCACAAAAAAAAAATCATACGATGACTTGCAACCATTCGAGTGCTTGCAACCGTAGAAGCAACAGTCCTTCTCAGGATAGTTGATGAATTGCTTGTTGCGCTAGCTTTCAAAGTGAAATTGTGAAGTCAGTGATCTAATATGATAACTGAAAGATCATCATCAGCCAACCACCAGTGATTGGCAGTTCAAGATCCTGGAACAAATCCAGGGTCTTCAACAAGAAGTACAAGGGCTACGCCAAGCAAATGAGGCAATGAAACAAGACGTGGTTCCTCTGCTAAACGACAACGCCAATCTCCGCCAGGTAGTAGAAGCCACCTCCATCAAAAATCAGATATAGAAAATCGCAGCCACTGCATTCAACACCCAGGATGACGTTAAAATGGCCGAAATCGAACAACAATCAACAAATTAATGAACTGATCTCTGACGAAAGTTCCAACTGCGATAATTGTGACAGCGATCACGAACACGACAACAGCGACATAGAATCCGTAACATCAGGTAAATCCAAAGGGGGAAAAAATTCTACCGACAGTGACACCACACAGCTCGAACACCAGAAAAAGTCAAAAGGTTTTTGACCCCGATGATCATTCTCCGAAACCCGGATCAAAACCAGAACACAGTCAGCCCGACCATTACAACATCCGCCTCCAAAGGACCAGTTAGAAATGGGTTCCAACTTAAATATTCAGTGGCTGTGACAATCCCGGCTGCTCTACCTCCACGTGAAAGGATCCCTCCGATTATTATAAGAAACAAGACCAAATATGAGTTAAATGCCCACTTCAAGGCCAGTTTGCCATGGCAAACAACACTGCTGCACCCCACGTCAATGGAGGACTACAGACAGATGCGAGCCTTTTTCGAAAAGAACGGAGAACCATTCCACTCCCTCTCGTTCCCAGAAGAGAAAAAACTCAGTCAATCCGTGGACCTTTAGAAAACTGGACAACCGAGTTCATCAAAGAAGAGCAAGAAAGCGCAAACTTCCAACCAACGTCCGTCATGAGCTGATCCTGTCAATCGCCGAGAGAAACATTTTCGAAGTCAACTTCATCAATTACATTAGAGTGAGAGTCGAAACTCAACGCACCCAAGGATGATCCACACAGTGCCACAGATGCCAATTATAGGGACATTCCTTGTCCAAGTACCAAAGCTTTGAACAAATGCGTCACATGCGCCGGTGACCACCACACTTCGACTTGCACCAAACCCAAGAAGGAAGCTGCCACTTGTATGGTGAGAGTCGAAACTCAACGCACTCAAGAATGATCCACATAGTGCCACAGATGCCAATTATACGGACATTCCTAGTCCAAGTACCAAAGCTTTGAACAAATGCGTCACATGCGCCGGTGACCACCACACTTCGACTTGCACTAAGCCCAAGAAGGAAGCTGCCACCTGTAGAGTGAGAGTCGAAACTCAACGCACTCAAGGGTGATCCACACAGTGCCACAGATGCCAATTATACGGACATTCCTAGTCCAAGTACCAAAGCTTTGAACAAATGCGTCACATGCGCCGGTGACCACGTAACTTCGACTTGCACTAAACCCAAGAAGGAAGCTGCCACCTGTAGAGTGAGAGTCGAAATTCAACGCAGTCAAGGGTGATACACACAGTGCCACAGATGCCAATTATACGGACGTTCCTAGTCCAAGTACCAAGCTTTGAACAAATGCGTCACATGCGCCGGTGACCACCACACTTCGACTTGCACCAAACCCAAGAAGGAAGCTGCCACCTGTAGAGTGCGAGTCGAAACTCAACGCACTCAAGAATGATCCACATAGTGCCACAGATGCCAATTATACGGACATTCCTAGTCCAAGTACCAAAGCTTTGAACAAATGCGTCACATGCGCCGGTGACCACCACACTTCGACTTGCACTAAACCCAAGAAGGAAGCTGCCACCTGTAGAGTGAGAGTCGAAACTCAACGCACTTAAGAATGATCCACATAGTGCCACACATGCCAATTATACGGACATTCCTAGTCCAAGTACCAAAGCTTTGAACAAATGCGTCACATGCGCCGGTGACCACCCCACTTCGACTTGCACCAAACCCAAGAAGGAAGCTGCCACCTGTAGAGTGAGAGTCGAAATTCAACGCAGTCAAGGGTGATACACACAGTGCCACAGATGCCAATTATACGGACGTTCCTAGTCCAAGTACCAAGCTTTGAACAAATGCGTCACATGCGCCGGTGACCACCACACTTCGACTTGCACCAAACCCAAGAAGGAAGCTGCCACCTGTAGAGTGAGAGTCGAAACTCAACGCACTCAAGAATGATCCACATAGTGCCACAGATGCCAATTATGCGGACATTCCTAGTCCAAGTACCAAAGCTTTGAACAAATGCGTCACATGCGCCGGTGACCACCACACTTCGACTTGCACCAAACCCAAGAAGGAAGCTGCCACCTGTAGAGTGAAAGTCGAAACTCAACGCACTCAAGAATGATCCACATAGTGCCACAGATGCCAATTATACGGACATTCCTAGTCCAAGTACCAAAGCTTTGAACAAATGCGTCACATGCGCCGGTGACCACCCCACTTCGACTTGCACCAAACCCAAGAAGGAGGTGCCACCTGTAGAGTGAGAGTCGAAACTCAAGGCACTCAAGGGTGATCCACACAGTGCCACAGATGCCAATTATACGGATATTCCAAGTTCTAGTGCCAAGCTTTGAACAAATGCGTCACATGCGCCGTTGGCCACCACACTTCGACTTGCACCAAACCCAAGGAGGAAGCAGCCACCTGTGCAAACAGGGCTGCCCGAGAAACCCCAAGCACCAAAGACCGCCTACAAGCCAGCCCCTCCGTCAAACTTCGTAAAATGCAGCCAACCAACACACAGCACCAGCACCGTCAATAATAAACACCTGCGCAACCAACAAAGGAATCACTAATGCGGTAAATGAACGCTCTTCAGCAATATCTTAACGCCATGATACAGAACTGAAATTCCACCAATCCCTTGATAAGGGATTCTCACAACCCAGCTCCGCCGGTATTAAGGCACCCTCACCCAGGAAATCAAATCTGGATTTGCTAAGAATCACCTCCCACGTCCGACATGCAGGCTCACCATAAACTCTATCAGTAGATGCTGCCCTAGTTGCATACCGGTTTCAAGCTTTTTAGCTCTCACCAGTTCAATACAAGTCAAAGAATACTATAGAGTGTGCCTTCATATATATCTCATTGAAGTCTCACAAAGAAGAGATGAAGCCATACTCTATAATAGACTCTAAACCGGTATGCAATTAGCGCAGCATCCAATAATTGAGAATTCAGGTTCCCTCCAATATTGACTTGTAGATCAAAACCTTACGTATTGTGTAATACTGGCCATGACCAGAATCAATACAAACTCATCGTATGAGTTATTAGCAGTGGGTTTGTAGCTTCAATTAAACACTTATTTGTCTAGTTTAATAGGGCAAATCATGTACTTTTGTATAGAAACTAGTTGCGGACTTATACCCAACTATTTGAAATTTAAGTATTTGTGACAAAAAAATAAATATATAGATTTGTGACGGTTGCAACTCAAAAGAAGGTGTATACTCAGTACTAGGTATTTTTTATTTTCCCTGCATCAATTTTACAAAATATTTTATCCAAAATTTCATACGCAAAACTGAATTGGACAATGTTCCATAACTTATTGTCTATAATTTTTTGGCATTAGTCATTTGAATACGTACATCGTCGAATTCAGCTAAAAATTTTAGGCAAATCAAAGTAATTATATCACTAACTCTACAGTCACTAAGCCTAGGCTTATAATTCGGATTCAGTAAAGGCTTTTGTCAAAACTGTAGAACTTCTTTTTTGTTTCACTAGCCTGCCAGACCAAGTAGAGGTTAATATTTTTTCTGTCGCCTTGTTGATACCTCTTCTAAAGGCTCGAGAGCTTCGGGTACCACAAGTTATTCAAATCTTCGAATACAATGAGATACTCATTATACCCCAAGTACGCACTTAATTTTTTTTTTTTTGATACGTATATACTAACTAGTATACTATATGGCGGCTTAAAAATTCTCTGCCAATATCGGCCGGATAATAATTTGTTTGTTAATAGGGCCTGCTAGTGTCCTTGGGTCTTTTCAGTTGCACTTTGAGACGTTTCATACCGATTTGGAAGCCGTTCATGGCTTGAATTGCCGTTTGGGCACTGGTTTGGTTGTCAAATGACACAAAACCTACACAAAACAAATCAGTTATTAAACAATTTTTATTTAATAGTAATTTAATTGACTTACCAAAACATTTACTCTGATTAGTTGCTCGATCAATGAATACCTTAGAACTGATAACGTTGCCGAAAGGCAAAAACATTTGCATTAGTTCGGCATCACCAAATTCCTGAGGTAAATGGTAGATAAAGAGATTACATCCCTCTGGACCAGATATCGAGCAACCTAATAACAAAAATAATTAATTTTATTTTAACATTATCGGTGTCAATATTTCTAATTTGATTTTTTTCTACTACTGGCTTAACGAAGCCTATCATCCTAGTTAAAGAACTTCAAGGGTCAGCAGCAATATTTCAGACAAACCGTCGAGATCAGCGAAATTCACTTCAGTCAATCGGGGACCCCTTTAATGATTTACAGGGAGGATCATCGATAATAAGTAACAGCTCGCTGACCCAAGGTTCGAAATCGTTAGAGGTTTCCCTTTCTATATGACAGACGGGATTTATGAGGAGATCCTTTATAAATATCACATCATTATTAAAGATTAGATTCGGGGAATATACATGTATAACGGGTTTGGGCCAAAAAAAAGCATCGTGTTTTGGAGCTCACCATTTTAAAACCATCCATTAACCAAAACATAATGGACAATCAAGCTACAATAGGTAGTTGTATCATTTTAAAACAAAAATATATATACTTATAACTTTCATATACAAACTTGTTCAAACCTGCTGATCTTTGTTGAAAAATTGCGAGTTTTTTTACTCGTTTTTAAATATGCTCTAGATGGCTTGACTTTGCAATTGGGTAGGCGTACTAATAATAATCTTATCCAAATATTTTAAAATGTACGGTTCCAGTTTTGCATCAAAAAGATTATCTACTAAACCATGGAAAGTTGCAGGAGCATTATGAAGACCAAATGGCATCCTGACGAACTGAAAAAGACCTCTGGACAGCACAGTGGAAACTGTATATTGGCGAGAAGAAGGTTCTAGTTTAATCTGCCAATAGGCACTTTGAATATCCAACGCAGACAAATATTTGGCACCTAAATACCTAATATATCAGAAATGTATGGTAATGGGTACGCATCACGTTCACTAACACAGGGTCCTTTCTTTATATATTTTTTGACAATGGAAAGACCTACCTTGAATGTATTCTGTCATGTCGCAAAACTGTTCTTTCGCATCTCAAGATGTTCCAAGAAATAAGAAGCCTCCAGAGGAACTAAATGCAACCGATGTGGATGATGAGGCACGGTTGTTAGAGGCTGTCCACAGGGTGACGGTATTTTCGATAGTTTCTTACAGCGCCTCAACTCTAACGAATTATTTACATTTGCCTACGCAGACCATTTGTCGATACTACGTAAGGGAAAATTCGAAGGAGTTATGTGCAACAGTATGCAGAGCACCCTTCGTCTAGGTGAAAAATGGTGTCGGGAGCACTCCCTGTCTATCAACCCTAGGAAGACGGAGATGGTGCTCTCGACCAGAAAAAGAAGGAGGGCATCCTTTCTACTAAACATACAATTAGATTTCGCCAAGGAGGAAAAATACCTTGGTATCACTGGACCTGGAATCTTCACTTTGAGGTGAAGATTCCAAGAAGACTACATTTCTTTTGAGCAGTGCCGCAGAACTGTAGGCACAGCTTGGGGCCTCAAGCTAGAGTTGTGATGTGGATCTACTCAGACTACTATGATTGCCAATGGAGCCGTGGTCTGGTGGCCAGAAAAAGAAACTACAGAAGCACCAGTCCTCGAATTGACGACTTTACGGACACGAAATATATAAGCTTCAGAGTGAAATACCTGTGCAGGGTACCAGGGGTGCGATTTCCGAAACCATGCGAGTACATTTCGTACACGAAATTTGACTGACAGCAATGTAAATTAAATGGGGAGCAGTCAAATTTCGTGTACGAAATGTACTCGAATGGTTTCGAAAATCGCACCCCAGAGGTCGTATTTTCGAATATTCTCGCATACAAAATTTGATACGATTACGAATGTTCCCCATTTAATTTACATTGCTGTCAGTCAAATTTCGTGTACGAAATGTACTCGAATGAATTCGAAAATACGACCCCAGGCGAAAATCCCGCATTCGGAACACCCGTTCAAGGTACTCGGATGAAAATCCCTTTTGCCGTGGTGTGAAGCGTATATTTAAAATAACTGATGGTGCGGAGCGCGATAATATGAGGACTGTTACTTAAGGTTATGGCTGGTGTTGGCTTATCTCGGTCGGATCGGCTGGTCACTGGTCTGAAGGACTGGTAGTACTGCTGGGTCTAGGACGGCAAGTTTGCTGCTGTACCACTGTCGTACTGTCCTCACTTATGCAGATACCGAGCCCTTTTTAGGCGAGCCTGCGTCGGTATCTATTGTTATTCCCAAATTCCAAAAAATGCGGTAAGTGCAATGTGCGTTCGGGCGTACAAAATTAATACTTTTCCGGCTAGGTCACACGCCAAAATATTAGATAATATGATTTATATTTGAAAAATAATTCGACCGGGATTTTAATTAAAACCGCGGTACTGAAGCAAAATTGAGTAACTTCGTTACACACCCCCTCTTCTTTGAAAAAAATATTATCCATAAATATTTTATACAGTCAATGTCTAATTCTGTCCCTAAAACACATTCCAAAAAAAAAAAATCTGGCTCTCATAAACCATAAAAAAACTCGTTTCATTGATGGATAATGCTAACCTAATTCTTGTTGACTGCTGGCCTATTCCGGGTGTCCATTGTCTACGACCGTAAAGGCAACCGCAGACAGCACAGGGTCGATCATGACGGCAGCATTGGGTCTAACAGCACTAACGGCAGTCATCTCCAGAGAGTGACCTGCCTTACCATAATGGGAGCAATGCGAAAAACGCCAACTAGGGCCATGAAAATCATGCTGTGCCTACAACCCTTTGACATCTACCCCAAGGCAGTGGTACTTATGACTGTTCGTAGGATGAAAGCGGTTGGTCAATAACTAGCGTAGGCTGTGGAACCAAGAGATGCCGCCTGTGGAAGGAGGCAGTCACATGGAAGTCCTACTAAATCTACCTCCGCTACACATTGGGATTCAGGCGGATGGGTCTTCACAGACAAGGAAACAACCTGAGCAAACAGGCAGATCAGGCCACACACAAATAAGGGAACTCATAAATCTGACAGTATTCAACATGATAATTGACTATGCACTTCCCAAATACTCACCCGACATATCCTTCCAAGTCCTTATTAGTGAAAAGGAGGAATGGGAAAACCAACATGCACTTTCCAATCTCAAAGGCCAGACCTGGTAGTCGGACGGGTCCAAGATTGAGAATGGCACAGGCGCAGGAATCTATAGTCAAGAAGGAAGATGCGAGACTTTCTTCTCTCTAGGGTCACATACATCTGTTTTCCAGGCAGAGGTATATGCAATACTACAATTCGCGAGAATCAATAATGTGAGGGCAGTGAGGGCTCACTTTACTCATAGACAGTCAGGCAGCACTGGGGGCATTGAAGAACCCTGCAGGTAAACTCTGCACTGGTAATAGAATGCGGAGAAGAACTCAACAACTTGGCGGACCAGAATAACGTAACATTGATGTGGCTGCCAGGATATAGAGGTAACCCGGATAATCTCGAACCAGCTCTCGGAGTGTCCATAAGTACAGTAAGAAATGAGCTAGTTGAAGGAATGGAGCAAAGCAAAACATGCTCAATACTGGAAGCAAATATCCAAGCATGTACGTGGAAAAATCTTCATACGTGAGACATGCAGCAGAAGAGAAAAAAGACTGCTACAACTAAGCAAGAATCAGCTTAGAATAGCAACCGGCTTTCTCAGCGGGCATGCCCCAAGTAAAGAAGCACCTGCAAACAATGGGCTTGTACAACGGAGACACGAGCTATAGACTATGCGGAACAGAGACCGAATCAGCCCAACCTATCATATCAGAATGCGATGCATTAACTCGCAGAAGAAAAAATATATTTGGAGAAGATGAACTAGATCCAGACACATACGTGAAACATCCAACAGACCTACTTCGCCTACTGCAGAGAACCAGGGTTTTGGAATGGGTGCAGTAAACAGGAAGATTTAGCACAATAAGCCTCCAGCTGCAGCGCTACTCGGAGTTTAATCAGACGATTTCCTTACCAAAAAAAATAAATAAATAAACATAATGACCAGTCAAGCCATAATGGGTCGTGTAATGTATCAAGGACAATAATTAGAAGCTAGCTGGAAGACCATTTCCTGAATTTCTCTATATATTCTTTGACAATGAAGAGATCTACCTAGAATGTATTCGGCATATCTATTGCCGCTAGTCTGCAGAAACATCGAGGACAGAACAATCATCATCTACTCTGATTATCGGCCCTAAACAGCTACAAACTAACTTGCTGCGGGGTCAGTACTAAAATGTCAAAACTTACTGGCAGTTACCGCCCTAAAAACAGAATTTCTGTCAGGTGGGTCAAGGGTCACGCGAAGTGTCTTGGCATTAACTCAGCAGACAGACTGGTTTCCAGCTCCCCGATATTGGGACCTGGTCCTCACGATTTGCCTCCTTCTACTCTGACTCTGATGAACATAAATATTACCCTGGAAGACTTCACGTTCAAATGACCAGATGGGATGAGACTACCTCCGGTCACCTAGCTAAGAACCTATTCACTTACCCTAATGGAGTTGCAGCAAGAACATACCTGGACATGTCAAGGAAAAACTCTCCTTATACCAAAGGGTTTCTGACAGGCCACTGTCAGCTAAGAAAACATCTTCATTCAATGGGATTAAGCGAGTCACTTCTGTGCAGGGGTTGCGAACACGAGGACGCGATAGTGGAGCATCTGCTTTCACACTGAGATGCCCTTTCGGACCTGAGGAAATCTATTCTGTGCGAGCGCAGGCCTGATACGGCCTTTCTGAGGGAAGTCCCTTCAGGCTACATCTCTGCCTTCTTCAAAACAGGCCGGGCGATGGCCTGAAGGATTGGCAAAACCGGGAGGACGCACAAGGGGTCCACTGGGGCCTGAGTACGGTGGCCCATCAAGGAACACCTTCCACCAAATCCAGATCTAGATTTAGACCAAAGGGACACTTCAAAAGAGATCACCGGTCATTAGAAACAAATGACCAGACCCTTCTTGAACCGCAGTTTCCAAAGAAAAAACCTGGAAAAATCTAATTAGGCAAGGGCAA